ACTATAGAGATTACACTTTGGTCCCTGGGTAGCTATAGGGTATTAGTTAGGCGAACTCCAAAATCTCTCTGTTCTGGCCTCTTGCAGGCATATACTCTGGAATTTTTTTTAAAGATGAAAAAGAAAGCAAAGAACACAAGTTATTACATATTTAGAGTCCTCCAAAAAGTCTTTGTAGAGATCTGTAAAATCTCAAAGCGATTTAAAGGTAACAACACAATTAATACTTAATTAAAATATAAAAATGTTAATAATAACTTCTTATATTTCTATATTATCTCTTTCTGATGAGTAGAAGGTGTTTTAGAAATGCTATTCCACTACTCTCAACTTTTCAAGGTGACTATTGCCTCCTGTCAGAAAACACAAAGGAAATTGATAACTTTAGCAAAAAGCAAATGAAAACACTTCAAGCAACAGAAGAATAGGAAGTCTGCAGACCTTAAGTCATAAGAAAAGTTCCTCTCCTTGCCCTGTTTCTCCCTAAATGCATCACAAATACAGCCTCTTACTTCTAGAGCAAGGTGTTAAGCTTTCCTCCGTGCCTCCCACCCCAAGATGAGATATTCCTTTTTTGTTGGGTATGTCCTAATGTCCTATGCTTTGATGCAAGATGAAGGTAGGTGAAGAGATAATGAAGGGAACACATTCAATGGGTTTGTCAAAAACAAATTTCTTTTAAACAACTCCTAAAAGGATAGTCTAACGTAGTGTGGTATTATCCTAACCCATTCCACATAGCTCTTGAGGATAAAGAAGTGTATCGCTAAATTTCAACATCCAGCAGTAGAGGGCAACACTGCCCTTCTTTTGCAAAATGCTGAGCGCTCCTAAGGAAAATAAGACACTCCTGACCACCGTGTCTGTGTGTTTACTTTTACCTAATGCTTTAGAAAAAGAAACTATTAGAGTCTTTTTCTTATTGTTTAGGCGATTAGGTAGAAAGAACGTCAGAGCCTGTATTGCCTTGAAGTAAATGGTGAAAAACACAGAATATGCTCAGGATATGGGTTCTATCTAGCAAAGATAAACAGTAGCTTGACCCTGGGCAATCAGATAGGATTATTGTATGAACAGACCTAATTCTCCTGCACTTTCTGGGTAGAAGTCAATCTACTGAACTAGCAGGATGTGGTTTTAAAAATGTGTGTAATTCATATGGTCTTAGCCCAGATAACTAATTTTTAATCAGGATTCGCAGATTTTATTTGGCTGTCTGTGTTAGTAAGGAATGTCTTTCATGGGACAATAGTTGGCTAAAGGACTGTGTGTATATAGCAGTAAAACTGAAGGCTCATGTGCTAGTCCTCATTTTATTGCACTATGATGTGAGTTTCTCTGCCCAGTAGTAACAAGAAAAAAATAATCTGTTATTTTGTACTAAAAGTTACTTGATGCTCCTTGGCAGGATGACAGAGAGGAGAGAATAATCTTAACTTTAGCAAATACATAACCATAGTATCCCTAGCACATCTGGGTTCTGCTCTAACCCTCAAAACTTCGTTGGCAGCAAATCCTCAGTGCTGATTCAGATCAATTCCACCAGGGGAAAGTGCTGGAAGACAGAGTCTAGTTCCCAGCTCTATGTGAACCTGGAAAAATTATAACCTCTGAGCCTCTGTTTCCTCATCTGTTAAACAGATATATTGCCTCTGAGACCTAGTAAAAGGGTCAATTTAGAAACTATTAAAATGCTTTGAACACCATTGAAGTAGCTAATGAATATTTCTATCACTGTAGCCCAAAGAGATTCCTGCCTTTTCTGTAAATAAGATGGTGTGTCTTTTCTCCGCCTGTGGTGACATTATATTACCTGAGATGGTTTGTTTTCACAGGTACTTGAGTTTTTCCTCCAACGAGACTGCTTGTGAGTTCCTTGAGAACTGAAACCATCAACTGTACTTCCTGGTATCCTCTATGAGAACATATTTGGTACCCAATAAGTACTCAAATATGTGCTGCTTGATTAAAAGCAAAAACCACAACAATGCAGAATTAACTTTTTATTGAATCGTAGTAAAAACACACACACACATAATGTAAAATTGACCATCTTGACCATCTTAAAGTGTGTATACAGTAGTATTAACTATATGCGTATTGTCGAGCAACAGATCTCCAGAACTTTTTCATCACAGTTATTTCTATTTCAATTTAGTTATTCTTAATAACTATCTTCCACATCTCATGATGTCCCAAGTGCTTCTCATTGATTGATTGGGCAAAAAAAGGAAAAAAAAAATTATAGTACTGTCCCTCTGTGGCTAGGGATGTATGGAACAAGCTTATCAAGACTCCCACTCTTTTAAATCCTTCCTGCCCTCATCGAGATTCTGCTTTAGTCTCTCTCTAATCCACAGGTAAGTCATTTTCTACAAATTTGGGATCATATGCCAGAAAGGGAGTGCCTCTGTAAAATGCTTCTATAAAATGTGTTCATGAGTCATTCACATCTAACATATAATTAAGCATTTGTATAAAGGAAACTATTACATTACAATAGCAACACTTGCTAATTACTTGGTTTTTCAGAATATGTGACTTTTGTTAACGACTGAAAATAAAGTGCTATTTTAAATCGTTAATGGTATCATAGTAACACTTTAATTTAGCTGGTTATGGGGAGGACTGGGAAAATGTCCTCCAAAAAGACTCTGCTTTGGCTATCGGTCTACGTGCTGTTTGGGCTCTCTGAGGACAGTGTGACAATATTGAACTCTCAGTATGTGGTTTTAGAAACTGCATCTTCTCAGCACAGAGTTTCATCTAAAGTGACTGCTGAGTATCATGTCAAATTCATTTGTGGTAAAAAGTTTGGTTTTCTCTTTTCCACCAAGTGAAAACAAAAATAAATTTTAGGTGGATTGAAGGTGTAAACTTTTTAATCTATGAACAAACTATGGAAAATAGAGGAGATTTTTAAAAATGATATTAGGGTAGAAGAGACTTTCTCCATCATGACATAATCTCAGAAGCCATAAAGATAAAAATTGACGTTGTATGGCAATAGATACCATAAATAGAAATATGATGACTTGGAAAAATTGTCACACCTGTTATATGCTCAGTGCTTCCTTGTATTGATAGAAAAATGAATTAAGGATATAAAAAATCAATCAAGACAGAATAAATACAAATGGCCAATAAACATACCAAAAAAATCATCCTTATTACTAAATTGAAACCCCACCAATTCCTCCATTTTTGTTCATTAGACTGATAAAAACTAAAAATATTGGTAAATGATGTCATTGAGAATGCAGGAGAAAAGGCACTCGTGCACTATTGGTGAGGGTGTTGATAGATGAAATGCTTTCTTACACTGCATTTTGGCAAAATCACTCAAAATTAAAATGGACATATCATTTTACCAAGCAAGTTCTCCTCTAGGAATCTATCCGAACGAAGTTTATACAAGTTTGACAAGATAGGCAGGTACAGAGGTAAACAGCTGTGCATTGCAGCTTTGCTTTAATAGAAAAATACTAGGGGTGCCTGGCTGGTTCAGTCATTAAGCGTATGCCTTCACCTCAGATCACCATCCCAGGGCCCTGAGATGGAGCCCCACATCTGGCTCCCTGCTTGGCAGGAAGCCTGCTTCTCCCTCTCCCACTTCCCCTGCTTCTGTTCCCTCTCTTGCTCTGTCTCTCTCTCTGTCCAATAAATAAATATTTTAAAAAAAGAAAAATACTAAATGACAGAATTTCCAACAAATGTGTCATTTTATAGTGTAAAAAAAATCAAGTTCTTACTGAAAACATAACAGATTTGAAAGAGATTTCACAAGGATACAAAATTAAGATAGTCTCTAACAATGATAATTAGAACAGGAAGAAAAATCGTTGTCCAAAGCACTACAGATATTACCATTTAAAACTTCAGAAGTTATGAGGAACTACTTTCACTAAAGAGCAACGTTGTGTGCTATAGTTTAGAGTTAATCTGGAAATCGAGAGAACTATCAAAAATCACATATTAATAAAATAGTGATTTTTAAAAATATAAATCCCAGACTGTGTATCCCAGGACCTAAAGAAAACAGTTCCCGGCACCTAGTAGACAATAAATACTGGCTGAATGATGAATGACAATGACACTTCCATCAGGGTTGTCCTAAGACTTGATGTAAAACTGCCTAAGGATTAGTGTTGATATATAACAAGTGTTTGGGAGATAAGAGTTCACTACTTTCCTGGAGGCCTATTGGTGCTTAATAATTGCCTGGCACATTATAAGAGTTTGTTTATTTAAAACTATGTATATAGTGCTTCCCATATGCCAGGTACTGTTTTAAGTGCTTTACAAACACTAACTCATTCAAATGACAAGAAGCTGAAGTAGCTGGTCTTATCATCCCACTTAAAAGATGAAGCAATGGAAGCAAAAAGCAATTGAGCGATTCCCCCAAGATGGCACCGCTGGACAACGGTAGGAATATGAACACAGATAGTCTAGCTTCAGGCCCCGGCCCCACTGTGCCATATTTACTGGTCATGTGAGAAAAATTTATCCAATGAAAAAATGAATGTTACTGCTTTTAGAAATTATATTGTGTTTTTCATCTAGGGAGCTCAGAATATTTTATATTAAATCATACCTGAAAGTTAACCTTGCAACTTCCCTTTGAAGGAGAGCATATTTTAAAAACATTTTAAAATGTATCATGAGTTTGGGGCTCCTGGGTGGCTCAGTGGGTTAAAACCTCTGCCTTCGGCTCAGGTCATGATCTCAGAGTCCTGAGATCGAGTGCCACATCGGGCTCTCTGCTCAGCGGGGAGCCTGCTTCCTCCTCTCTCTGTGCCTGCCTCTCTGCCTACTAGTGATCTCTGTCAAATAAATAAAATAAAATAAAATAAAATAAAATAAAATAACGTATTACGAGTTCATGAATTGTGTTTGAAAAGACCATGGGCGGGCCTTGTTCCTGGTGATGAAGTCACTATATTTGCTTTCTGATGTCACAGAATTTCCATACAACATTTTAAAGTTCTGAGCATAAAGACACCTTGTTGTAGAAATGGAAGGGGCATAAAGACTTACAGAGAACAATTATATAACAAGATCAAAATTATTGAAAGGGGTAAGGAGGTGTGAGCTGCAATCTTCCACGTGACTAACGCACTGGCTCTCCTTTCCAATTGGATCTCTTCTTTCCAATTAGGAATCCTTCTGTACTAGGCTTTGTAGACTTTTTTTTTTTAAACTTTTTTTTTTAAAGATTTTATTTATTTATTTGACAGACAGAGATCACAAGTAGGCAGAGAGGCAGGCAGAGAGAGAGAGAGAGAGAGAGGAGGAAGCAGGCTCCCCACCGAGCAGAGAGCCCGATGTGGGGCTCGATCCCAGGACTCTGGGCAGCCGAAGGCAGAAGCTTTAACCCACTGAGCCACCCAGGTGCCCCTGTAGACTTTTTTTTTAAAGATTTTATTCATTTATTTGACAGAGAGAGAAATCACAAGTAGGCAGAGAGGCAGGCGAGAGAGAGGGAGAAGCAGGCTCCCCGCTGAGCAAAGAGCCTGATGTGGGGCTCGATCCCAGGACCCTGAGATCATAACCTGAGCCGAAAGCAGAGTCTTAAACAACTGAGTCACCCAGGCGCCCCTAGGCTTTGTAGACTTCTTGAGATATTTTTGTTTGTTTTAGTTTTAATCTAATTTAACTTAATCTCATAACATCATACCACTGTTTCTTTTTCATGATTTATTCATTCATATATTCAATTCATTTAATTAATATTTATTGACCATCTACTATCTGCCAGGCATAGCACTGGGTGTTAAGGATAACATGGTGAACAAAAACAGTCCTCATCCTCATGGCTTCTCTAATCTGATGGGTAAGACGGATAACAAGAACACTGCATACATGAAATTATGAACATCACAGCCATGAGAAGGGCAACATACCTTTGTGGAAAAGGCACATGAGAGTATACGAAATGGGAAATGAATCTAGTTGAGGTCACTTCTTTCCCTCTCAGAATGTTTCCTCCAGCATAGATATCATTCCTCTTCTACTTCCCATCTCAGCAGCACCTCTTAGATCCTACAGCTCGCACATATTAATCTTCAATTTATAGAATCCATTTTGACAGCTAATATATTGAAAAGAAAATGACACATTAAAAATAATACCTTTATTACATCATTATTGCTTCTAGCTCTTTTGTTCCAAAAGACAAAAACAAAAAAGGTCATTTTAAAAAATCTAATTTCCATTAGTAAGATGTATTTTTTACTTTGAAGATTGAATTGGTTTCATTAAATGATACATGAACATGCCCCTGTTCAGGGCATGGAATTCTAGGATGAGGGTTTCCTGGCTTAGCTGATGCAGAAGACAGGTTTCTTTGCCCTCCATCCTTCCCCACCCTGTATTCCCTCTCCCTTCGCTGGTCAGTCTGATGACACCCTATGTTTGTTGCTGGATTGGGTTCCCCATTGTACCTACATGTTTACCTACATGTTTACCTACATGTTTACCTACATGTTTATTAATCAGAGTGTGGTCCTCGGACAGCTGTGTGGACTGGTGGCATCCGTGTCATATAGGTGCTTGTTAGAACTGCAAAATCTCTGTCCCCACCCCAGACCTACTAAGGCAGGATCTGCATATAGAAAATATCCCCAGATTTTTTTCTAAGCACATTAAAATTGAGAAGCATCATTTTATCCCTATTAGTTTCCAAGAATGTAAAATGGACAAGGTCATTCCTGCCCAGCCTACCTTGTTCACAGCTTTGAATTAAAGAGGCTCTGAGATTTCAAAAAACAAAACAAAAGACACTTTCAAGAGATAAAAATGCTATGTAACTATTAAACATCAAATTTAACACTATTTATTTTCACCTAGACAACTTGATTTATTAAACCTGTTTTCAGAGGAAACAAAGATTACTCCTGACCATTGGATGGACTCTGTTCCTGTAAAAATTGGTTGCACTATCTTAAAATACCCCAGCGTTCTGTTCTATTTTGTGTAATGTATAGATCAATGATCCTTGCTGCACATGAGAATTTTCAGATTTTTTTCCTGAAAATCCAAAGCCTGAGCCCTACTCTCAAAGATTATCTGATTCAGTGGGTCTGTGGTACAGCTTGGACAGATATACTTTTTTAAGGTTCCCCTGGTAAATCCAAGGTACTGCTAGGGTTCAGAATCCTTGACAGAAATAATAAGAGATGAAGAGAGTTAGACCTATGGTGTAATAAAAATAGAAGTAGCAACTGCAATTGTTTTTAGGAATTCATTCTATAAGAATATGTGTGCAAAGATGTATGTGCACAGAGCCTTGTTGCAGCATTATTTATTTTTTTTTTTAAGATTTCATTTATTTATTTGACAGACAGAGATCACAAGTAGTCAGAGAGGCAGGCAGAGAGAGAGGGGGGAAGCAGGTTCCCTTCTGAGCAGAGAGCCCGATGCGGGGGCTTGATCCCAGGACCCTGGGATCATGACCTGAACTGAAGGCAGAGGCTTTAACCCACTGAGCCACCCAGGCACCCCTGCAGCATTATTTGTAAGAACAAATGTATGGAAAATGATTTTAATGTCCATCAATTAGCAAATGATCACATAAGCAGGACGCATCTGTATAATACAATAATACAATACTGTGCTAATGTTAAAGTGAATGAGGAAGACATATCTCCTGCCATGAGAATATCTCCAAGATACATATTATGAAAATTTTAAAAGTTACCTGACAATATGTGATAAATGATCTCATTCATGGGAAAAAACAAGTGTGCATATATACATACATGGATATGTCACTGTTTAGTAAGATCACTGAAGGATACTTACCCATCTGCCAACAGTGGTTACCTCTTGGAATAAGAATGGGTGGTTAGGGGAGTTTTCATTCTGTAAACTTCTAAATATTTTACAAGAATGTATCCATGTGCTCCTTGTGTAAGTACTCAAAATACATTCCAGGGCTGCTGGCTGTCATACCATCTGTAATCCTGGATAATAGACTATTTAAACTAATTATTATTTTAATATCATAATCTTGAATATAATTGTATAATAAATAGTGCAGTGGCTGACAAAAAGAAAACAGATCTATAATACCCACACAACACAAACATGGCTGGGACATCGAGCATTTCTAGTATTCGACCTGTCACTTCTCAACTCTGAGACGACTGGAATTATGTTGTTCGGACCCCTCAAGATCCCATCCCATCCGATGTCCTACTTGACACTGACTCTGAGGACCGCTCTAGTTCCTTGAGTTAAGAACCCCTCCAGCCAAGCAGATCCCACTTCTAGAAGGATCTCTATATTCACACTCTGTAACTTCTGCCTTGTCCAGCCCTAGAAATCATGAAGGACAGAAGGCCGCCTACAGCTCAGCCTTGCTGAGAGCCAGGCCTCCTCCATTTTAGGTCATAGGGAAGAGCGGGCAGTAGTAGGAGGGCTGTGCGTCCTGTCTCGGGAAAGAGTCTCCAAGCCGGCTGGGACAGCTCTTCCTCTTTGAAATGGTGAGTAATCCCTGGAAGTGTGTAATGAGAGAAATTGCTTACGAATCTGCCTCTCTCGGCCCCAGGCCACTTCTTGCTCTCTGAGAGAAACAGAAGGATTTTACACTAATAGCATTGGGATAAAGTCGGCGCGGAGGCCACCTGACAAAGAGCAAGCTTCCAGCCCGGAGTGGGGCCCTGCTGACAGCTCCTTAGAAACTGTCTCTCTCCCAAGCCCCCTTTCATTACTTCAAGTTCCAGAATCTGACAGAGTTTGATGGGGAAAACAAGACAAGAACATCCCCTGCGGCAACCAAGTCCCCACTGATCTCTCTGTGTCTGACAGACAAGGAGAGTCCATGTCACCTACAAAACGTCTCCCTCACCTGAGCCGAGTGTGCCCTAACGGGCCCTGTGGGAAGGATCCCAGCAAGACCCTCCTACCCCAACTTAGACTTCTCTGGAAAGAAAATCATTGTAACCAGAAAGTTCCTGGAATCCAAATGCCCCCTCTAGTCCCCAGAAAAGTACGTAACATCTCAGGACTCCAAGGTAGTTACGCTTTGATTTACAAAAGTCTTTTCCGGGTTATACCCTCCCCGTGGTCTTTGAGAGCTGGGGACCGTCTGAGATCTGAGAAGTCAGTCTGCAATTCCGAGCAGAGTGTCTGGAACTCCAGCCTTGCCAAATTACCAGAAGGGGGTGGTGTGAAGAAACCAAACGCCACTGTGCTCCAGACTGCGATGAGAAAACACGCTGGGGGCTCTCCGACAGTAAACCCACCTCAGAAACATCTCTGAAGTTCGTTTAAAATGCAGATCCTGACTCAAAAGGTGGGGGGTGGATCCAAGGAATCTGCATTTTACAAACTCTCTAGGGGAGTCTGGATGAAGGTGATCCCGGGACCCCACTTTGAGAAACACTGCTGCTATTGTGCCAGCACCTCCAGCCAGGGCTCGTAATGGCATACCTCTTGGCCAACAAGGCTGGAGCTGAGTGTCAGCAGCTCTTTCCATTGGAAGTGGAGCCAGCTGTCTCTAGGCTTCTCCTGCAGGTACCTAGAGTCCCCAGAGGCCACTCCCAGCAGAGAAGCATTTCCAAGACCCATCATTCAGAGCCTCCAGTAGAAGGCAACAATCAACAAAGAGCTGCTGAGCCCCCCACTGCCACATGGTCCTAGTGGCTGATTTGAACCAACTGATTTTTATTAGATCACAGGTTTTTGAACTCCACTGTGCATCGGAATGACACAGGGCAGCTTGGTTAAAGCCCACGGACCCAGGCCCCATCCCAGAACCACCCTCAGGATGGAGCTGGTTGAAGTGGTAGTTTAACAAGCTACCAAGTGATGTAGATTTACTGCAGAGCTTTCTTTTCATCTCTAAGAAAAGCATCATAAAATTCTAGCCATGGCACTGCAAAAATTGAAATCTAAAACATTAATTTTTAAAAAGATTTGTTATTTTTAAAAATATTTTATTTATTTATTTATTTATTTGACAGAGAGAGAAATAACAAGAGAGGGAACACAAGCGAGGAGAGTGGGAGAGGGAGAAGCAGGCTTTCCATCCAACAGGGAGACCGATGCGGGGCTCGATGCATGGCTCGATCCCAGGACCTTGGGACCATGACCCGAGCAGATGCTTAACGACTGAGCCACCCAGGCGTACCTATTTACTTATTTTAGACAGGGGGTGAAGGGGCAGAGGGAGAGAGAGAATCCCAAAGCAGACTCCTTGCTGAGTGCAGAGCCCAGTCAATGCAGGGCTCTGTCCTAGGATCTTGAAATGGTGACCTGAACCAAAACCAAGAATTGGCCGCTCAACCAACTAAGCTCCACTCAGGTGCCCAGAAATCTAAAACATTATTAACACTGAAAACAATTGGTTCTCCTTCTATGCTCTTTTAATGTCCCTAATAATTTTCTACCCAAGTATTCAAATACTTTCTTAGAGGAAAATAGCTACTAGACTATCTGACTTGCTAAGTACCAATATGCTGTGGTTTAAAAAAATCTATACTCAAAAATCCAAACTCAAAAAATCTAAAAGATTATTTTTATCATGACAAAAATATAGTGATAAAAACTAATATTTATTCATTTCTTACTACATGCCAGGTACTCTTCTAAGCATTTTTTAAATGTGAAAATAATGGGGCACCTGGCTGCCTCAGTCAGAAGAGCATGGGAGTCTTGATCTCAAAGTCATGAGTTCCAGTCCCACACTGGGTGTAGAGATTACTTAAATGAGTAAATAAAAGCTGAAATGTTAAAACAACTAGCATTTATTAACCATTTGCTTTGCAATGAAAAAGATTATTTCATTTGTCTATCATTTCACTTAAGCATTTTAGATGGAGTAACAGAAAAGGACACTGAGGCACAAGCAAGTTAATTTACTTGTCAGACATTGCACAGCTGTGAAGCAGTAAGGCTGTATTCGAATCCAGAGACCAATTCTTAACCATTTTATCACCTTGCTCATATTAATCATAATAGTGTTTTGGTCAACATATCTATCATAAGGCTAGTAAGTGCCAGTATTGGGGGTTATGCTCTAAGTACACGGTGACAAACAAGATGAATACGGCTCTTGCTTTCACAGTGTCCATGATCTGCTGAACAATCCAAATGGGTAAACAAGTTATTCATTGTGGTGTGAGGAGCGCAGTACCAGGAAATCACAGGTCAGGGGATAAGACACACAGCCTAGTCCTGGAGGAGTAAGGAGTAAGGAAGTTTTCTCAGGAAAAGCAAGGCATGACTGAAAATCTAGAGGATGAGTATGAATTGGCCAAGAAAAGAGAAGGTGAAGGGAGAGTCAGGGCTGAAGAGAGCGGTTGCGATAGGCCTGGTGTTGAGTCCATGATGCAGTGCGTCAAGGATATGAAAATGATTGGTATGATGGGAGCAGGGAGGGATGAGGGCACTATGTGAACAGTGAAATTGGAGAGACCAATCTGAACCAGATTTTGAAGTGTTAAAGGATGTCAGTGTGGGGAAAATAGGGATCCATTTAAAGGTGTCCGTAGGAGCATGGAGCTGAGGGGAGTGATTTGGCCTCAACCGTTGACTTGTGAATCACAGGGAGATCATAACACCCAGGGAAGGGAGAAGCCAAAGACCTTGGGGTCACCAGCCTTCTGGGCTGGAAAGAGGAGGAGCCCCCAGAAGAGATTCATGGTGTGTAAGAGGAAAACAATGAGATGTGACTCAATTTCCCCAAGATCACAAAGCTAGTAAGTGGCAAACTCAGAATTCAAAATGTCTCTATCTTTCCAAAGCCACAGTCTTGACCGTTCTCTCTCTTAAATATTGTTTTACTTTTTTACCTAAAATTATGGTTGATATAAAAATTTTTATTTATACATATTTTTCCAGTAGCCCATTTCTACCAAACAAAGCTAAAAACAAACAAACAAATAAACAAAAACTTGTCAAGAAATTGGTTTCCTGGATCCTTGAATTAAGGAAGCAAACTCATGAAACAGGCTTCTCACTGCCTCCTCATCTCTCTCCTGGTGTGCCCCACCGTACCTTTGGCTTGGATATCCCTTTGTTCTACTTAAGAATGTCTCCTAGGGCATAGCCATGTATAGCCCATGGGCAAAGGCTTAGGATTTCTCTTCAGAGGTCTGCCTGTGTGGCACCAACGCACTTGTACAAATCCAGGAAACACTCAGGCATCCGGAATTCTCCAAGGCACAAACCAAACATTAGTAATAATCTTGTTCCCGACCACATGTGTGTCTTCTCCAAAAGATTAATGAAAACTCTGGCTGCTTTAGTTAACTGTTTATTATTTTATTAAAGCAATATATATATATATATATATATATATATATATATAAAATTAAGTGCAGAATATATAACAGTTCAGAAGTTATAGAGTGAAAATAAATTCTCACATTCTCCTGCCTGCCTGTCTCTTCCACTCCATTGCCTATAATCCCATTCCCAGAAATACCACTGTTAACAATTCAATATATATCTCTATGTGCATTCTTCTACACATATACAGAGTTCTTAAGTGAAAAGGATCACATTATCTCTCTGTAGACCCCCCACACACACGTGAAGGTGCCGTTCTTTCTTTAACCAGTTCTCCACTGATGGCCATTTGTATTTTTTTTTGATTTTTTGGCCTGCTCTTACTCTACAGAGCCTGAGGGCCCCTAAAAGAATGTTGTTTGGCCTCAACTTTGGACTGATCATTTTTCTGAATTTGCCATTGTTTGTCCTTACATTTCCTCCCTTTTTGAGCTTGGTGGATGCTTCTCTCCTGCTGTTCCTTCTAATCAGACACCTACTCAGTGTTAGTTATGTTTGCTGCTTTAAAGATCTCCTTACGGAGTCTAGGACTCTGGAGGAGGTAGGTTCAGCAAATAAACAAACTATTGTCCTAACTTTACATTCTTATTCTAGAGGATTTTGGAGACACCGAAAGAGTTCTCTTGTTATCTGGGAATCAGCTTAAAAATCTCCTTAGGTTTGAACTGCGCTTTTCATTTCCTTTCAAAGAGCACCCCAGACAGAGTTGGACTGACTGTATTTAAAGTGAAGGCATAGCCGACAACTTCCAAGAGCTTTACGTCTTCTACAGTGTGTTGGGAAGCAAAATTAACTGAGGAAACAATTAGAGTGCAGCTGAGTGTTAATTATGTAATTATGTGTAAGGAGTGCCTGGGTGACAGAGTTCAGGGAAGACAGAGCTGGCAGAGTTCTCTGCCTTCAAGGGGAAAGCTCTTGAGCTGGGATAGGAGGCAGGAGATGACATTCAGAGAAGTCTAGGCAGAAGGTGGAAGGCTTTTCAAGTACCTGGTAACAGTTCATACTTTTTTTTTAAAATCTGACCTTTTTTTTAGTTTTTGTTTAGGATTTGCCAACCCACGTGAGAACCTTAGCTTGACAAGGTCAAGGACCATGCCTTGCTCACTCCTGGATCCCTGGTTCCTGCAACAGTGCCTGACACATGGTGGAAGGCCCATGGGTACAAGAACTGACGAATGAATGAGCACATGACCCTGGGGTGTGTGAGGAACTGTGGGAAGAACGGCCTATCTGGGAAGAAGTGTGTGTCCTTGAGGAGTAGGGGACTCTCCAACAGACCAGCAGATGGGGCACCTAAGTAGGCCTGCATGGGATTCAAACCACGGGGCAGGCGAACCTAGCTGAACAGGGTATGGGCACCACTGAAAACTGCCAAGGACGACCCTGTATAGAGTGCAACAGGGGACTTGAATCTGAAATTAAACTAAAGCACAAACTAAACAAAATTGTTCTGCACTGTGCTTGGTCAGCCAACAGCTATGCTTAAAAAAGAAAAAAGATCTGCTCAGTTCTTGTTAAGAACACAGTAAAATGTTAATGGGATCACAAGACTTATGACTACCTACAACGATCACCTTCACCTTTAAGCAGATAGGTTCGTCGCCTCATATTGAACCAGTTATCGACTAAAAACCATCTTGCTGTTGTCGTTCACCCATAAGCTGTTGTTTTGTAGATCTTTTCTGTCTCATACTTGCACCATTGATTATTGGACCTAAATGCAGTGCCTCACATTCGTGGTACATCCTATCTTATTGATTTTAGACTATCTTTCACCTTATGGAATTCATTTTAAACCTTGATCCTATCATCAATCACAGTATTCCTCTTAGCTGGGTGTAATCCATATGTGTGATCTGCAATCCCCCAAGGTCTGGGATGCCTGGAGGTAATTTCAAGAGCTCTAAGGGGCGGGCAGTGTCTACCAGCGGACACACCACCAGCCAAGTATAAGAAAGAAAGAAAGATGTGCGGCCCTATGACTGCAGATACGGGACACAAAACGGTGGGGGGCGAGCGTGGGCCTGGGAGGGAGTAACTGCTAGACCTCCCTCCAGGTTAGAGCAAACCGAGTCAGACTCTCCAGTGGACGCAACCCACAAAGGGTTTCTTCTAGAAAGAAGCATTTTAGAAGTAAAAGTGTGTGTGTTGAGGGGAGCTTGATCTGTTTTGAGGCAGGCAGGGAGGGGAAGGGGCATTTTGGTCCCTTTGGAAGCCAAATTGGGGCGGGGGGGGGGTGGTGAGAAAAGGATGAGCTCCTCCCTCCCTGCTGGGCAGATGTCAGCTTCACTTAGAATCTGGGGCTGCTTTGACTATCCTTCCCTTCCGGCTCTGGGCAAGAGATCCCGCTTTGTGTGTAGGATGTTTCTCCCCACTTAGTCACCCTGCAGGTTTTTCGCTGGAACTCTGCATCCCCGAGGTCTCCTACGCGCCTCTCCCGCACTCCGCCTCTGCTGTAGGATCAGTTCCGACTGGCTTCCCTCTCCAGTTATGGGTACACGTTCCATCTGCTCCCTGCTCGCACACCCTCCCGCCGCACCACTGCCCACTCCCCTGCCTCCCCCGCCCCACCCCCTCCACGAACGCTAACGCCTTCAGCAGCTCAGGAGCACAGATGTTTTCACCCTGCCGCGGCAGCACACGGGTATTTTCCCAGTGTCTCTGTGTGTCTGCTCCAGGCACCGTCTCTCTGGGGAGGGAGAGAGTAAATGTTTTCATTCCAAACCCTCAGGGTCAGGTCTTGTTTGTCTAAACTGTGTTTGTTGCTGTAATTATCAGATTAGCTGATCTCTGGCAGCAAGTTGGGGGTCGAGGGGGGGCGGAGGAGGGGGGGAGCATTAACCCTTTGTGGGTTGGTTGCTGTGCTCGGTCATGGGAATCCCTTTGGGGGGCAGCAGTCATTTCTCTTCTAACCTGAACGATTTGGCTAGAATTCTTTTTTGCCAGCCCTAAGAGGCCTCAGGAAGTCTCTGAGTTAGTCCAACCATCCAGTGGGCTCCACTGCTGGGATCCAAAATGCATTTAGCAGAGACGCGGGGTTGAAAGGCCATCTCTCCCGGGATCTGCTGGGAAAAGAAAAAAAGGGAGCTTAAGGAGGATCCGGATAAGTAACTCAACAAAGGGTATGGGTGTCTCTCAGGCGGAATAAGGAAACCAGGAGTATACGAGGGATGGCTTCAGCTTGTCCACCCACCCCATCCCCCCTAGCATAAATGCAATGAGACTACCGGGCCCCATTTAGGTTTGTTTTGGGATTCTCTGTTGTTATATTTAAAAAAAATAAGACAACAACTCAGCAGTCTCGCTGGTTAAGCCATTCCCAAGCCTTTGTCATCAGACTCAAATGGCTGGTCATGTCAAGGCTTTCTCATCTGCCCTGGTCTCCCACACTCAGCACCACCGAACTCTCTGGTCTCCAAAGATGCCATAGACACAGAGATTGCTCTCTCCTCTCAACACCAAGAGGAACAACTCTTTTGCATTTTTAAAAAATATTTTATTTATTTATTTGAAAGAGATCACAAGTAGGCAGAGAGGCAGGCAGAGAGAGAGGAGGAAACAGGCTCCCACAGCAGAAAGCCCGATGTGGGGATCGATCCCAGGACCCTGGGATCATGACCTGAGCCAAAGGCAGAGGCCTTAACCCACTGAGCCACCCAGGCGCCCCTCTTTTGCATTTTTATTATCTATTTTACAAATGAATAAATCTCCCCAAAAGTAGTGAATGCTCTTTGAGGACAAGAACCCTGCATGTTGGTCACCTGGTTGAGGATCTAAACGCATCAGTAACAAGTGCTTAGTCAATTCCTGTTGATGGCATTTTTCTAAATGTTCTTTCCACTTCTCACCTCTGTTCCTTTCTGCTTTGTGTTTGATTTATTTTGTTAGTTTGATTGTTTACGAGTCACTTATTCCTAGAGTGGTCTTCCAATTTTTGTTCATCAACTTAGTTCCTCTTCATTCCAAGTATACACACACACACACACACACACACACACACACACACACACAGAGGGATAGAAGGAAACTAACATTTACTGAGCGTCTATATACTCGGCACTATGCAAACTTATGCTACGTGCTTTCCAAATATCTTGTTTGAAACTCACATTGGTTTGTGAGAGAAGTGCTATTACATGGAAGGAGAGTTAAGTCATATGCATGAGCTTCCACAGTTATAAGTGGTATGATGAAGATTCAGGCCCTGATGAGTGTGACCCTAAAATCCATACAAACCCCATCTTTCTAGTTAGGAAGTGGAGAAAAGTGCAGAAAATTTAGGAAAACACACTTTTGCCCAAAACCTAATTAAAAATCAACCAATCTCTCTTCAGTATTTTTTTCCCAACAAATACAACTATAATTATATCTATATTAAAAAATAAAAGAAACTCAAACCCAATAAACATTTTGAGCAATAATTCTGTACAATCAAATAGTTTGGGAATAGCCTTAGCATTAGTGATAAGTTGAATTTGGTTCATCTGTCCCTGTCCATACTGTTTATAAAGCTGTCATTATTTGAAGGCAAATATAATTTTAAAATGTTCTATGTGTCCACACGCTGATGCACCAAACTCATTTTAAAAAAAGAAAGAAAGAGCGAGCAGCTGCTAGCATAGAATATTCCTGTGTCCTGAGAGCACAAAATCTTTCCTCTCTATGAATGCTGCCAGACCTCGTTCCAAATGTGGATTGGGACATAGGCAGAGGCTCTTGGGAAGAAGTGTTCACAACCAGAACCGGACAGGAGTTTCCATATTGTGCTCCTGGGCTGTCCCAGAAGCAAAATTCAGATGGATTTCCATAGAAACAGTCAGGGATCCCGCTTACTTTTCCCCTGCCAGAGAGGTGTCCCGTTCAACATGCAGCCAGCTAAGACACTATCCATCTCCTTTTCTACCCAAAGGTCTCCTCTCCTCTCTCACTGCTTCTTATATCCTTCACCACAAGCCATCCAAGAGAAAAGATCCAGCAGATCTTGAATAGTTCAAGTGAGCTGTGTTTGTCAGTTGTTCTGGTAAACGCCAATGGCAGTGAGGTTGAAATGATTATTTTGTTTCCCAGCCAGAAATCTCACTCTTCCTTGGGGAGAAACTCACTTGGCTACATTAAAAAACTTTTAAAGTAGACTGGGAAATGAAAGGAGAGATGATACAGAGCTGAAAGGGAATTCAAAGAGGTGTATATTGTAAAAGATAAGAAGGCAGGAAAAATAGAAAGGTGATTTGAGCACCTTATGGCAGAGTCCTCACCATATGGAAAGCAAAATGAGGCAGTGTTTTAACAAAAGAATCTCAGGTTCATAAAATACCTTACTTGATCCTGGATCTGAATGGTGAGCTTGTTGTTATTAAGAACTTTAAGATCCCTTTCTGCCACTAATAGCTGTGTGACCTACAGTAAAACACTTACCCTCTCTGGGATGTACCTGCAAAGTTGGGGCTTGGAGCAGATGACATTGAGATGCCTTCTCTCGTTGATGTGCCATGACATTCTAGACCCTTTTAGGAAAGCAAAGAGGAGAAGTTATTTAGAGAAATCAAATTTTCTTGATTTCATGTATACAAAATGCTTAGAATAATGCCTGGCACGTATCAAGTGTATAGAAGTGTTAGCTGTTACTACTATGCCTGATGATGAGGCCGATGAGAATGAATCCAGGTGCTACAAACACATTTTTATCTCCCCCATCTGTAAATTTCAAAAAGACAAACAACCCAGTACTCTGATAACTTTAAAGCCCTTTCTCTTGCAAAGAACTGATTGGAGGGGAATGACCTGTGGCTACTGAGAATGAAGACTAATTGTCACTCATGGAGGGATAGTTTGCTAAGCAAACCACCACCATGACCAAACATGAGAATGTTTTCTTTGAAAATTCAGCTTTCTTACTTGGCCCTCAAAGGGACCCAGGCTGCCTTGGAAAATAGTGAGTGTCCCCTTCCCTGGATTCAGGGATGCAGAAATCAGGTGACGCAGTGAACTACACTGACTTTGAAGAAGCTCTCTGCCAAAGCCTCCATAATTCCAAAGCAAAGTCAACCAAGAATTACAAAGTGTCACAACGCTTGTGGGCTGTAGAGTAGCTGAGACTGGGTTTCAACCAGAATACCTCGTCCCATACGAGGACAATATCAATGGCATAGCACCGGCCTGGCATGTCTCACATTTTAAACGGTGAAGCTGTGTCTTCTAAACCTTGAGTTGAAATGTGATTCGTGGAACACGGTACCAAGCAAAACTGTAGTTCATTCTTTCTTGTCAATGCTGAAACTGAAAATTGAAAGCACTAAGGGAATAACAGAGCCACACAGTAAGAGAAGAGACAAACCCAGAGTTCTGGATTTTTCCTAGCTCTTTCTCTCTATGAAGAGATGGACTTGTCTTGGGCTGAAGTTGAGTGGAAACTCATCTGTGGTGTTAGAGCAAGATGAGTAGTGTGTAAGACAGAAAAGTAAATAAATAACCAGAACAGAAGGGCAAAAGGGCAGGAGATAGAGAGTTGGAGAGTCAAAGGGAGAGAAAATAAGGAAGTGAAGGGACATTAAAAAAACAAAAGTCTGTGCTCGGAATAAAGG